CGAGATACAACACAGAAACTATGTAAAACTCCTTGTACAATGGTCTTATATGTCTTTTTCATTTCATGTGTTTATAGGAATATGTTTTGTTTTGTCTTGCTTTGTTTTGTTTCTCCCTCTAATATAGAAAGGTTAGAAATATACGTTAAGACTCATGCACATGTAGAACGTATAAACAGTTTATGAGAACCGATCTTATGACACATGATGAAATGAACAAATAATTTGAAGAAAAAAAGACACTAAAGTACCCAGTGCTGATACTGGAGTGTCATAACGTGAAACCCAGCAATAGTACTATTCTTTGTTTAGAGTGATATTATACTGCTTGGGGTTGTTCAATCTCAACGTAATTGAAGATATGAATAACTGCACGTATGTTAAGTGAATAGGGTTGATAATGATATTTCTAAGTCCTTGCTGGACAGTGGAACAGAACTGGTTGCAGTCTCACTGTTTGAATCCCCACTTTATATGCTCCACTTTAGTATCATGAATAACTATTTGTAAGTAGTCAATCTGTAATCATCAACTAGTGATTTCTTACTGTCTAGTTTTTTCTTTGAAAGTATGTATTATTTCTACCCATTTTCTGTTTTGTCTAGTCTTTCTTTAAACAAATAAAAAAAGTGACACTACAGTATCCAGTGCTGATCCTGGAGTGTCATGATGTAAAATTCAGCAATAGTATTATTCTTTGTTCAGAATGATTTTAGCCTACTTTGTTTAATCTCAACATAAATGAAGATTGGATAACCTAATGTATGTTTTAGTGTATAGGATTGATAACCATATAACTAAGTTTTTATTGGATAGTGAACAGAACTGGTTGCAATCTCGCTGTCTGCACTCCCACTTTATATGTTCCACTTTTGTATCTTGAATAACTATTTGTAAGAGGACAGTATGTAAACATCAGCTAATGTTTTCTTACTGTTTTGTTTTCTTTGAACATATGCATTATTTGTACCCATTTTTTTGTTTTGTTTAGTCTTTCTTTAAACAAAATAAAAATAATTAAGAAATGATATCAACAAGAATTGTCTTACTTTTCTTGTTACTGAGACAAAATACCCAACACCCAAAGTTAAAAGGGAAAAGATTTATTTAGCTCACAGTTTGTAGAGGTTTCAGGGAATTTCTTAGCTGGCTCCAAAGTAGGGTGGTTTGGCAGAGAGAAATCACAGAGAGAACAGTTCTGGCACCCACAAGATGGCAAAAGCCACAAGATCAAAGAGGAGGGCACATCTTTGTCTGTCCCTCTTATTTTATCCAGACTACTGGGATTAGGGCAGTGCCAGTACATTCAGTGGACTGATCTAACAATCACCCACCCTTAATCCTAGCACTAAGCTATGAATCAGTCACAAACCTTTGGAAAAATACCCCATCCAAAAGTGTGTGAGGCTTTCAGGGTACATCTAGACACAAACCATAACAAGAACTAAAATGGGGAAGAGAGATTTAGAAGGAGAGGGAGGTAACAGGAGGGAAGAGGAATAAACAAGGATCAAACTGTGTTATGAATACATATTCCCTGAGATGACTGTAAATTGTGTGCACTGCAATATGTACTAAAAAGAGAGATAAAATAACCAGAAAGGTTATACAGCTATTAAATTTATTTATTATTGAGTTCCTTGTGGCAGTTTGTGCTTCTCAAGGAATTTGATTTCATCTAAATTGTCAAATTTATATACACAGTGGAATTCCCTTAGTGTACCATGATGTGTAAACAGTCAGTAGAGTCATGCTGTTTCATTATCCATCATGGTAATTTGTTCTCTCTCTCTCTCTCTCTCTCTCTCTCTCTCTCTCTCTCTCTCTCTCTTTCTCTCTCCCTCTCTTTCTCTCTCTCTCCCCCTCTCTCTCTCATTTGTTCTCTTTGAAATTTTTCATTTCTATATATCTTCTCCCAAAAAAATGTTTCCCAATTTTTCCTATCATAGGTATTACACAGTTAGTAAATTTTATTTACTTCTGATCTTAAACTTAGCTCCTTTCTTGCCCTTACTTTAGTGCATTTCATTCCTTTTTTCCAGTTTTTTGAGTTTGGAAACCAGATTGTCAGATTTGACCTTCATTTTGTCAAAATATGCAGTTAGTACTCTAAATATAATTTTTAATCATTGTTTTAAAAGTGTGTCACAAATTTTGATGTTATTTTCATTTAGTTTAACATATTTTTATAGATGCCTATATGAATTTTTTAAATGAAAAAAGAATAAAAATGATACAGAATTTCAAAACAAAATAATAGGAGATTAATGATGGCTAATATATCACGTATTGTAATCTTCAAAGCAGTTGTTCAGATTATAAGATATAGGCATGAAAGAATGATTGAACAGCAGCTATTTTTTATTTCCTTTAAGACATCTTTTTTCTTAAGTAAGAGTTACTTAGAAGTATGTTAGTGATTTTTCAAGTGCTTGAAGTTGATCGGTTATCTTTATGTTATTACTAGTCTAATTTCATTTCCTTGTGTCCAGGATACACTCTTCCTGCATTCAATTCTTTAACTTTTGTTTAGGTTCCTTTTATGGCCCAGGATATGATATAACTTGGTAAATATCCCATAGGCAGTTGAAAATAATATGCATTGAGCTGCTGTTTGATGGAGTTATCTGTAAATGTTCATTAGATCCTATATACTAACGGTGTTGAGTTTTATTTTCCTCCTGAATTTTGGTTCAGTTACTTTATTTTTGTTCAGAGAGAGATGCTAGAGTCTCCACATGTGGTTGTGGGTTTACTTAGTTTTCCTTTCAGTTCTATTGGCTGTTGCTTCACTTATTTGTAGTTTAGCTGTTCGGCACACATGCACTTGGGATCCACATCTTCTTTGTGGATTAAAATTTTAATTACTATTTAAAGTCTCTCAAAACACTCTTTGCTTTATTGTCTCAACAATGTTAAGTGAAATAAACCAGGCATACAAGTTTAAAAACTTTCACTGAAGTTGGGAAGTCATTATAACTTTAAAACGTTTTCAGTATCATCCATTTTTATCTCCGAGTCTCCAGTAAAACATAGTTTGTATCTCTTATAAAAGCCCCATAGATTTTTTATGTGAATAATAGGATTTAAAATTTTACAAAAATAAAGTTGTAAGTAGTAGATAAACTACCCAAAATTTCTAAAAACTGACAAATAGCATAAAATATCAAGAACTATACATGCAGTAGAGTTAACAAATTTGTTCTGTAAAAACTTTTGTACAATAAAACCCCAAGTACAACCTATGTTAGTTATTGTAATCTTTTTAGGGGGGTATCAGGAATCAAACTCATGACCTCGAGCTTGCCAGGCAGGTGCTTATGCTGCTGAGCCAGACCTCCAGCCAGAGTAATTACAATCTTCAAGGAACAAATACCACAATCATATGCAACCTTACATTGTTGGATGACATTACATTGTATACGTATAGCATGTTTTATCAGTTTATTACGTGGCTGCTATTTGGATTGTTTCCTGTTTGGCTTATTTATTTATTTTTATTTTAAAGAAGATAAAATAGAATAAAACCAATCAAAACAAATCATTATAAGAGACATAGGACTTCAAAACCTTATGAAATCAACAATAGTTAACACAATGCCTTTTGATGTCTTCAAAATAGATGCAGATAAGCTTGAACATAGTAAAAATCAAACAGAACAAAACAGAATAGAATCAATAAAAACAAAACAATGAATGCAATAAAGGATTTCAAAACACATAATAAATCCAAAATTGCTACTATAATATATCTTGCTATCCTTGAAATAGCTTTTCATGCCATTGGAATTAAGATAATCAAACAAAACAAAAGAGAATAAAATCCAACCCAACAAAACAGTGGAAACCATATAGGGCCTCAAAACAAGCCCATAGGGAATCAACAATGGCTTCAACCTCTCCCCAGTCCACGAATGGCCTCTTTTAAAAAATAATTATAAATGTTTATTAAAAAGCAACTATACTTCCACTGCATAAAATGAAAATTAAACATATTGGTTATATTTTACACAAAAGTAAAGCAATGATAACTTTCATCACAAAATTGGCTGTTATAACTAATGCTACTCTTAACATTTGCATGTTTATTTGGGCAAGGCGTGTGTCTCCATTTCTCCTGGGTATTTGTCTTTAACTTATATCACAGCTGGAATCAAGGTGGGGCACACAAAAGCTGTATGTGGTAGTAGAGAAATTGTGTTCAAATAATCATTCTTCTAAAAATAAACTTCTTAATTGATTATTTTTGATTTGGTTTACACTTGAAGCAACAGACTCTTCACTGGAACACAACAGTAGAACCCTGCTTCTCAACCAGTTCACGTGACTTCCTCTAGCGACATGTGCCAGCTTGTAACAGCATGATAATGAGGTCTGTGAACTCAGAGTCAAAATTATAGGCAAGATTTTTTTAAAGAATTGATTTGCTTTTCAAACTTGCTTTTCAGCAAGCTCTCTTGTTAATTTGTTTTGACCAATGGTTTGTGTTGAGATTGGAGGCACTGACATTTTAAGCTTTTTCTCCATTTTTAACTGACAAGTAGAAAGCAATTGGTAAATAAAATTACTTTTGGTGCCCAGCATGACGTTTCTGATAAATATATTGGAGGATGGCCTACGACCTATGGAACACATAATTACATGTAAATTAAAATCACTTCTGCATTGTGATATAGCCTTCCCTTCTCTAACTTTTGTCCTGAGAACTGTAAGAAACAGATGATCTTCACGCCATATTTGTTTGAGACAAAGATAATAACATAATGTGGCGTGAAGGAAGCTCAGGGACCCAGGAGACAGGAAGGGTTGAACACAAAGGGGCCAGGAGAGAAGGAAGGGAAGTCCTGGTGTCTGTGCCAGGGCTTCCAAGTCAGGGGTGGTTGAGGAAGCATTGGGAGGACACTTTCTGTAGGGTCACTGAACAGAGGAGCCAGGTCCTGAGGTCGCCTCATCCTGTAGAGAACGAAAGCCAAACAGGAAGCTGGAAACAACACGTAGAGAGGTAGGGATGCAGGTCTGCCCTTCAGGGTTTCCAGCTGCACTTCAGTTCAGGAGTCCTAGAGAAGACAGAGGACAGTGGTGTTCCAGATCTAACTGCAGGTGGCCCTTCCCCTCTCAAGAACCCCTTTAACAACACCATGGAAAGAAGAAAGGTACATTCCCAAGCCTCCAGAGCAATGCTCCTTCAGAGCACAGGGCTCTTAGGAAGTGCACTAAGTGGAACAAAGGTTCAGTGCAAACTTCCAGATCAGAAGTAAGACTTTCTTACTGCTGCTGACTTGAGGTTTGTTGTTTCCATCTATTGCAAGGAATGCAAATTCACTTCTGAGAGAGGATAAAAGGACGTTACCTGTTGGCTGAAGTCCAGAGTGTGCTGGGAATGAAAAGAAGATATTTATGTGATATGGATAGGAATTTATACTCTACAGACAACATTCCCAGGACCAGTACTGTCACCTGAGATTTCTTAACAACACAAATCTACAGCGCCAGGACAGAGAGGGGAGTACAAACTGAAAACCTGTGACCCAGGAATCCTACAAATTCCACAGATTCAGTGTTTGGAGGCTCCTCTTTTATGTTCCCTCATTTCTTGTTCACCTTTCCTTTATCTTTATACGTCATAAATCTAGGTTTCAAAATAGCAAAACAGACTTGATTTCTGTATTTTCAGGAAATTTGAGATCGACTGGGGAAAGGAAAGCTTAACACAGAGTCATGGATATGCTGATAACTAATCCCAGAAGAATCTTTATTTTCCCCCAGAGAAGTCTATGGAAATTGTTAGCTACCAACAGGCTCCTTACCTTCATGAGTCTTGAAGCTGAGGAACAGCCCCACCCCAAGGAAGAGCAGACCTAGTCCGCAGGCTATAATCCCACTCAGCATTTTATTCTGTGCAGATCCAGACTGTGTTTCTGGAAGAAGTCGATTTTAGAGGGCTTTTAACTCATGTCCAACGCTTTTCATTGAGTCCATGAGCTTTATAGCTTTGAGACTGCAGGAAGATGCCTGCACTAGAAATGCCAGCACTGGCTATTCTTGGAAACAGATGTAGAAATCACAATGAGTTGACACAACTCCCTGGTCTTGAACTCATTCAAAGATACCAGCCTTATAGTAGCACCTGATCTTTAAAGGGTCTTGGTCCCAGTGGGGTTACAGAGCTTGTCTGAGGTAAAGGACGGGACTAAGAATGGACTTCTCTTATGTCCAGAGGCCCTATTCTGGTCTTCTTTTCAACACTGTATCACTGATTAGAGCAAGGGTTGCACTAGGTTGAAGCTAGTGGAGAAGTCATCTGTCCACCTCCTTAGAGGCGGGCCACTTCAGCATCAGCAGCAGAAACTAAACTTATGGGCATGTCTGAAGCAGTGACCACATGGTGACAACTGTGGAAAGGTCAACCCTGTGGTATAAGAATTGGTCCCAAGGTGCCAAGTGAAACAGAGCAGACAGATCTAGGATGGTACAGAATACAGTTTATGTGACACTCAGTTACAGAAGTGTGGTCCTTGGCAGCAGCATGGTCCAGCGGGTCCCTGAAATTTCGGTTAGAAAGGTGGGTAAAAGCATTATCTAGGACCCAAAGTTTCTTCATCCAAGCCAAAATGTATCTAGTTTACTTTAAGATGGTACCAAAGAATTGGGCATCTTTATAAAGAATACATAGACAATAGTGCTTTGTTTCACAGATGCCTTACACAACAAAAAGTTAGTTCAAAAAGAGCATTTGGCAAAATTTTGTTTTTGTATGCAAAGTCTTCATTAGGTGACAAACACGACCAAGCCACCTTTCTCACACAAACACAAATGTGGTCATCTTTTCCAAAATCATACAGCAAGTTAGGTTCATGAACCAAGGTGACACTGTGTATAAGGGAAGAGATGTGGGCAAGAATTAAGAAGTGCCATGCACATATACCAACTCTCTGCATAATTGTTATGCACTACAAACATATACCAATAATTATTAAATGAATAATAAATGTTTCCCACTTTCTCCTTCAGGAAAAAGCCAAGGAGAACAAATGAGTAATGTGTATCTCCTTCAAGAAGTAACTCTCCTGGTTCTTCCTCCTCTCCTCTGGAGCCAGTTCGGCACTGGAGAGCATCTGAATTGCTCATAGATACTGCCTTTCCTTCCCACAATAGGACAGATGGCTTTCGCAAAGAGATGCTACAAAATTAATAGCTGTTTTGGGGTGTTAGTATGGTCACAGAGTGGATTTAAAGCATGTACTATCAGGGCCACTCCGACCCACATTAAGTTAGAGTGCCACCCCTAGATCTCCTTCACAAATGCTGACTTCCTTTGCCCATTCCATGGACTGCTGGCTTGCCAATTATTCTAGGACAATACAGCCTCTGTGTATGAGGACTGTCCCCAAGGTGCCATGTCATAGAAGAAAGATAAAACAGATCTAGAATTGAAGCACAAATTACTTGTGGTAGCTGCACCAAGACATCACTCTGATTTGATTCAGAAGGTTAGGCCAAAAGTGACTTCATCGAAAATGTAATGTATGTGGTCTATCTTAAACTAATATTGAAAAGTCAGGCACATCCTTGACTACCTGGCCCAGCTGCAAAGTTTCACATAGCTGTGTGCTTTGTCTATTTATAGTTTGCTAGAAAACTGCGCAGGTAAAATGAAGAGTTAATACTGGAGTAATCAAGCCATTTAAGATAACATTTCAAGTAATTGTGATCACATTAAGCTAAATATACAGTAACCTTCACATGTGACATTATGGGAAACTTCACAACAAGGACAGCCACTCTTTGGACTGAAAAGCATAACTGATTTCATCAAGCATGTAAATCTCCAGGGGAACTATCACAGAGTTACCACCATGGCTTGTGCAGAAGGAGAGGAGAACATGAAGCCAACAGACTTATGGTATAGGGATGTCGTAGTTACTTTTCTCTTAGCTGAGGCAAATTACTCAACACCCAAAGTTAAAGGAGGAAAGGTTTATGTAGCTCTCAGTTTGTAGAAATTTCAGTCCATAATAGGCTGGCACTAAGGCAGCATCAGGAGGCAGAGGGGAAACCATTCCTGGCAGCAGAAGACACCAAAAACAGCAAGAGAGGAGACTTTTGACTTGGATTTTTAAGCAATGCTTAAACTGTTAGGACTTTGACAACTCTTGGAGATGGACTAATCGGCAGTTGAATAAAGGGATGTGCATGAGTTTTGGGGGACCAAATGATTACGGACTGAAACCTGTGTAAACTATGAGCTAAATAAACCTTTCCCCCCTTAACTTTGGGTGTCAGGTATTTTGTCTCAGCAATGAGAGAAATCTGACACTCAGGGATAAGCCAAGACCCCCTGGTGGACTGGTGGGGCACTTGTAGGGTCAGGAAGCTGCTACTCACCCAACTCCACCATGACAGGGCTGCTCCAGCTCGGGTGCTCCACCCAGCAGGCGTAAACCTTTCCTCTATTGGGAACAGTTTCCGGCATGACCAGGGTCTGGACGGTCCAGTCTCCGTTCTGGATCAGGCCTGTGGACACCACTCCAGCCTCCTCTTCTTGCTCATTCCAGAACCATCTGACCTCAATGTGTCCTGGGTAGAAGCCGCTCACAGAGCAGATCTGGAGGTTGTGGTGCTGCAGGGGCTGGGTCCTTGTGGGGTACACGGTCACCTTGGGCTCAGCTAGAGGAGGAAAGACAGAAAGGATAAAAAAGGAAGAGTAATCTTTCTTGGCTGGACTCCTCTCTGCCTCCTTTCATCCCCAGGTTCCAGGACAGCAGTCCCCTCCACCATAGCTGGCCAAGAGACCTCATAAAGTCTTGAGCCACTGTATTTGAGAGACAGTTTTGTTTATAGTTTGAAAAATTATTCAGTTTTGAATTGAAATGTTTATGAAGTTTTGCAAAACATGTAGTATATTAATTAGTATGGTTTCTAGACTACTTGGGTTTAAATCCTGGATCTGCCTCTCACTGGTCATCATGGAAGAGTTTTTTACATTTCTTTTTGTCTCAGCTTTCTTGCTTATAAGGGGAATAATGATAGAGATTTACCTTGGGTTCATATGAGGTTACAGAATCTAAAATATAAAGTAATGACTGAAACTTAGCTTTCAAGGTATATTATGTAAATTAATTAATTTTGAGAAAAATTATGACTCAAAGCAGTGTGGATGGGTGGATGTTAAATACATTACCTCAACAGACTCACATTCTAAAATGCATCAGAAAAGTTCCCCTGGGACAGAGGTGGCTTTAAGGCAGAGAGCTGAGTCCCAGGAAAACTAAGAGTTCCGAGAAGAGGGGAAGGAGTAAGAACAGTTAATATTTAATATTTCTATGTTTACACTTTGTTGATAATCCTTCACGGCATAAGGAAACTCATGATTAGGATTGTTTTCATTTGAAAGCTGCTTCTCCTTCTGACAGACACTTGCACCCTGGCCCTGGTCTGACTCCATCTAGTGTGTGTGCTTAGTGCCTGGGCTAATCTTCATACAACCAACCTCAGTAAATGGAGCTTGTTAAAAATGGTCAACCTGGGGAAAATATTCTATTGAAAATACAAAAAAAGAGGAATATTTAAAATTGATTGCTTAACACAGACACTTTTGCAGAAATTTTCATTAAATAAATTAAATTATTAACAATGAAAGGAATAAGAAGAATTAAAATAGAAACCACAAACTGAAGGAAAGACTGAAGCAAATACCAACAAAGTGTTCAGTTTTTACTACATAAAATTCCACAGAACACTGAGAAAAACAAACAAGGACCCCAGAGAGAGCAGACCTTGGGTAATTCTTAGTATAAATAACACTTGGGCAGTAAGTGTGAGAAATGTCCAAGAAACTTAGAAACCAGAGAAACAATTTAAGCAAAGCACCAATAAAAGTTAAAAATAAAAAGACAAACAAAAAATTAAAACATACAAATTTAACTGAATATTTGGCAGCATTGAAAAGATCCAGCAGAAGAGAACATGAAGTTGCCCTGACTCTACAAAGGACTACATCTGTGTTTAAGTAGTGTCAGCATTATCTAAAAAATTGTAGTAATAATATATTAAGTATTGAAACTATAATTGAAAAACCAGTTGATCAATCATTTCAGGCATGTAAAAAATGCATATTAAGAAAGCACACAAAACAATAGAAAAGTTTGATCTCAGCAAGGTTAGCAGCGACTCAGGGACACACGTGCACACTTGTGCACATGCACACACACATGCACACACGGGCACACACACAAGCACACACTCAGACCTCCCCGCCACCCCTGTGGGCCCCAGCCCAGCGCTCACCTCGCCGACCCAGCAGGATTCTAACCAGTTCATAGTTGTTTCTGCACCTGTCCACCGCGGCCCGGTAACTGTCCAGGACGTCCTTCTGGCTATTGAAGTCCTCGGCTATGGGCCGCCCCAGCTCGGTCACCGCCCGGAACTCGCCCACGTCGCTGTCAAAGCGCAGGAACTCCTCCTGGTTGTAGATGTACCTGGTCACTTGCTGCACCCGCTGAATCCCGTGGAAGAAATGACATTCCCCCTTAATCTGGCCCAGGAAGTGCGCTGTGGGGACAGGAAGGCTGGGTCACAGGTGGGTCGACCGTGGAGGTCACTGTGACATCCACGATGATGGCACTCGGGACGTGGTAAGCAGTGGAACACCCCGCTCACCCACCAGACCCAGGCCTCCCTGCAGGATTAGGAGACCTCGGCTGGTTTCCCCTCTCCTGCCCCGCTGCGCGAGGCCCTGCAGGAGGACTCCATGAGAGCCCTTCCCTTCTGTCTCCTTCACTGCAGGCTGAGCCTGTGCCAGGCCATACTGCCCCTGGGAATCCACAGACAGACCAGCAGACACCTCTGCCTCCTCTCCTGGGATCTAATCAGTGGATGCAGGTGCAAAAGCCAAACACATAGGTTACACAGGAGTGAAACCT